GGGTGTCCTCACACATGCATGCAGAGTCAAGCATTGCTTTTGCAGGATTATTTGGGGGGACTCAGAGTGCAAGGTCATTTCTCCCTCATCTCTTTTACTCTCAAAAAGGGGGACGGGAAGGGGAGAGATTCTCAAACTAAAAGCCAGGTGGTCAAACTATTGAAATAAAAAGAGTAGAGCAGAGAAACAGAGTAGCTGGAGGAACAGGTGAGGTGGGAGGGGGCTGCAAAGAGTCTACCCTTATGGAGTTTGTTGACCTTGAAAGTATATCCCAGAGGAGGTTTGAAATGGGCCTTTTGAGGATCTGTTCTGTATCTGTAGCTTCTAGACAGAACTGGGGTAGAGACACCTGGACTCCAGGCTCCAACTCTCTGCAGTCCTAAACCAGTACTGTGGGCCTGGGGGTGGAGCTTTGTAAGTGATCGGTCACACATTAGCTCATCTCATGGCCACCCCATTGGCCTCTGGCCTTCTGGAAGAGTCTGTTGGATTATTGCCAGCCCACTGTGCCTTAGAGGAAAAATAAAACAAACAAAAAGATGCAGAAGTCAAAGACAAAATGTCCCTGGTCATGTTAGAACAAAGTACCTGGGGCGTGGGAGTCTTTATCACCAGGACATCTGTGGATCCATGGGGGGTGTCCAGTAATAGATAGGGAGCCTGTCTGTACTCATCCGACCAAGGGCAATGGGCTTGTAGAGCAGAGGCTTCTTCCCATTCCAAAGCTTGGTGGTTCTAGCTCTATCATCCTGCCTCTGGGTGGGGGTCTAGGCAGAGTGTTTAGACAACACCTGATAGTGGGCTACAACATGCAGCTTAACCTGTAGGGTGATAAACCCCTGCCTGGCAGAGGAGTCAGTAAGCAGGCACTGGAGGAGGGGCGGGTGGGCAATTGAGGGCCTACTTGGGATTACAGTGGCTGTCTCCAGGAGGTCTGCTCCTCAGCAACAGCCCGGGCATGACTGTGCTAAGGCTGAGGCCAGAGGCTGTTGGTGGCCCCTGTGAGCAGTGCAGCAAAGCTCACACCTGCCTGGATGTGGAAGGGTCATACTCCCCCCCCTGACCCACATCCAAAGGGCCTTTCATTTCCATTTTGTGCCAGGCCCCTTCTGGTGGTTATAGCACTTTGAAAGAAGTAGGTTAGAGGCTCCACATCCCCACAGGCTGTGCTGGGAGAGTCTAGCCCTCTTTTTCCCCTGCTCCCACCATTCTTCTTCTGCCCACTTTATGGAAGACATGGACCATACTTAGAGCTAATGCCTTCTTTTAGGCATTTTATCTCTGCAGCATACCTGGGCTGCCTGGTTGGGGGGCAGCAGAGGGTAGCACACCCCTAGAACTGTCTACCTCCTTAGAGGCCCACGTAAACACACAGAATCAGAGACTCTACCTCATGGGCTCAGCCAAGACTGAGATGGGCCTTCTAGACAGTGGACCATGTCTGCCTAAGGTTAGAGATATGAGGGTGGGGAGTGGCAAGGCTCATGGAGGCTTTGTGTTTTTAAAATAGAAGCTCCTTGCTCTGAGACAGGAGCTCATGGTAAAGAGGAAAAGGTGGGCTAGGCTTCATCTTGCCCAGAGCTTCCCAAGCTGTCCTTCTGTGCTTGCAACTCCTATGGTCCAGAGTTGCATGGGACTGTCCTGTTGATGGTGCTTGCTGCTGCTGTTGACCTGGTTCTCGGGTTCCCTCTCCTTCTGACTTCCCAACACCTCAGGTAGGAGGAAGGTTGAGGTTTGTGGTTCTTCAGTTTGTTTGTTTGTTTGTTTGTTTTCTTTCCACTACAAATTCTTCTTCACAGTTTCTGAATATTTTAGCAACGTTAAGTCAGGTGCAAGCTCTGAAACTGCCCAGAAGAGCTTCAGCAACTTCACGGCTCTCCAGTGTATTGGAGTTTTAAAGGACTACATTCCCCACCTGGCTGTTTTCTGCTTCTTTAATCCAAATGTAACTGGATGAGTCGGGGCCCTTCTGTTTCCTGTGCATCTGGAGGTTGGCATAAGACCTGGAGGTCTGGCTGAGTAACAAATGACCCCAGCAGGCATTGTCAGCCAGCCAGCCTGCACGTGGATATAGAGCAAAGGCCGGTCAGGATTGGTTTGATGGGAAGGACAGCAGTCCAGGGACTGGTCCAGCTCAAGGAGTTGCCTGGAGGGTCTTACACTTGTGCTTCAGTTGGCTTAAGCACCTGCCACAAAGTCAAAGTGGAAGCTCCAAGTCCCTGGTAATCCCTACACCTTCTGCTTGGTGGGCACACCAGCTTCTTGTCCTTGCTGTCAACAGTGAGCTTCCACACATACCACACATGCACAGTTCCCTCCAGAGCCCATAAGAACACACCTGCTCTGATCCCACCCAGCACATCATAAACCTAATATCATTTGGTAGTTGTGCTGACAGTAAATGGTGTATAGTATCTCCAGAACAGGACATCTTCAGGGTTTAGTGGCCAGCTAGATGCATGTTCCAAAGGTTCTGGGCTCCTCTGCTAAAGCAGCAGCTAGAATCCTCTAAAGCCAGAGCCGTGTCTGCCTGGGGGAGGAGTGGGGACCACCTTGGAAACATCTCCTTTGTGTCCTGCACAGCCTTGTCTCCTGTCCCTTCTGCCAGCTATCTCAAGACTAGAAAAGAATGGCCATGATGGGGCCCTCACTGTGGACAGGGAAAGAAAGCAGATTTCAGGTTCTTAGTGTGAGCTGGTTCCTATCAGCAAGGCCAGAGGAGGGACTGACATAAAGGAAATGCCTTGCTGAGCCTGGGGCACCTCATCTATAAAACAGAGAAAGCCCTCCTGTTCCACATCAGGCTGTTGTGAAGGTCAGCACAAGGCCACATGGCCCCAGACCAATGCCTGTCACACAGCAAGAGCTGGGTAACAGACAGCAGTTATGAATGCACACACCAGGCCATGTGCTGGCTGTGGCTGGTGCCTATGCTTGCATGTCTACTTTGAGTCCTGCTGTCCCCCCAACCCTACCCCGGGTGGGCAGAAGCCATGCCAGCTGGCAGTGGGTCCCCTGCACTGTCACACTCAGCAGCCTCAAGAACACCATTAGGCTTATTATTGAGGAGGCTGATCGAGGTCTGCGAGTAAGGCAGCAACATGTCCCTGCAGAACTGAACACAGCCAGCCAGCTACCTCAGCCTCAGAGTCATCTGGGAAGACTCACTGCCCACAGAGTCCAGGAGGACCTGTTACATATTGGAGCTTTGGGGGTACTCTGGTAGGGTCCATGGAGGCCGTGCAGATGCTCTGATGAGAGGTGATAAAGAAGCAGATGCCAAGAAGTACTCTGTCACACCCCCTGGTGAAGCATCTCAAGAGCTCTTGTGAAGTCCAAAGCCTGGGTTGGTGGTCTGATTGAGAACAGACTCTCCCCCGGAAGAAAACCAGGGCTGAGCAGTCCAGTCTCTGGATGGAGTTCCATCAATTTGTAAGGCTGCCTTTCTTTCTCCCTTTGTCACCTGTCCTAGCTGGAGGAAGAGGCCTGGAATCTTTCTCTGGGGGAGATTGGCTTCCTGCATCGAAGTGCTTGGAGGGGAGCCTGCCCCAGGCCTGGAAAGCTACTTCTCCCAGGAGTGGATCTGGCTGCTGAGGGAGTGCTGTGTAACCCAGGACTATCACAAGGGCCGGATTCTGTCTCCTGTCCTGTCATTTGTCCCTGTTCTTTCAGACAGGAGAGGGCAGTGCAGGCCCCAAGCAGCCTCTTCCATACAGCCTCCTCCCGGCCCCACCCCAGAAAGTGCCTTTTCTGATTGCTGGTTGGCAGCTGCCTGGCACTGGTGCTGTTTGAAAACCCCAGGGAAACCCTGTCTGTTGCCAGCCAGTGTCCAGGCCTCTGGAACAAATACACAGTACTCCTCCCAAGTGGAATATTCTACAGCCTGTAGCCAGTTTCCTGGCCTTGGCCATGGTGCCTCCAAACGGAGACTTACAGGGGAAAGGGAAGCCAAATGGAGGTCTCAGTTCAGGTGCTGAACGGCCCTAGAACCTCTTCAACGTATTGGAGGCTCACCTTCTGCACACACCCATTTCCTGCACACACACACACCTTTCAGCTCACGCCTACCTCCTGCACACACTTCTCACTGCTTCCAGCCTTCACACCAGCCTGGCTGGTCCCTGTTGTGCCACGTCTAGCTATCATAGTCTTTTCTCCCTAGTCTGCCCCCAGTTACTTCTTCTGGGCAACCTCCAGCCCTTTTCCAGAAACCCTTTGGTTTATTTTGGTTTGGTTTGGTTTGGTTTTGGTGTATATGTATGTGTTTTGGTTTGTGTTTTGAGTTTGGAGTCTCACTGTATCATCCGTGCTGGTTTCAAACTCTTGAACTTGGGGGAACCTCTTGCCTCAGCCTCTTGAATAGACAGGGCTATATATATATATATATATGTATTACCCCACCCAGGACTCAGCAGTCATCTATGAATGACCCCTCCGTGGACTCTTCCTTCATAAGTGTTCACTTCCCATCAAATCTACAAATAAAATGTGCAGTGACACCTTGCAGCTGGGTGATGGTGGCCCTTCCAGTCTTCCTTGAGCAGGTCATTGCTCTTGGCACTAGAGTCCTGGTGTCCATCAGTCCCAAGAACCTGATGAACCAGCTGTCTCTCACTAGACAGATGAGGAAACTGAGGCCCTGAGAGGGTACATGTAAAAGGGCAGTGTGGGTTTAGCTATTCCCTTCTGGGGAAGAGACTAGGATGAGGAGCACTTGATTGGGAGCACTTTGCCTGCCTCCTTCACCTACCCCTGAACTGCCTCTGGAGGTCCCCTGAGCTCTTTTCTCAGCCTGTTTGTAAACTGAAGCAAAGCTACCTGTGACTGTGCCCACCATGTAGACAATAAGATGCTTGGAGTCCACCTAGGGTACCCGAGCTGTAGGCATGACCCCTCTGGTCTTACAGCTATGGGCATTGAGTTACCTTGCTTTGAATTCATCCTGATCAGAAAATGTAGGTGTCTTTTTAACTCAGAGTTTTCTGTTTGCTTATTTCTAGAGCAAGTCATGGAGGAAGATAAAGAACATGGTGCACTGGTCCCCCTTTGTCATGTCCTTCAAGAAGAAGTACCCCTGGATCCAGCTGGCAGGACATGCAGGTAGACTGGGATCTCCTAGGAAGGTACCAGGCAAATATGGGGAGGAATGGCTGGCAATGGGGGCTCCGGGGGATGATAGCACCAGAATAGCATCTCTTTGGGAGACTGCTTTGTCTGACACTGCAACCTCCCTGGCAAAGCTATGACATTAACACTGGCTTGTAAATGAATGTGGACAGTTGATCTTGCCAAAGTTCTTGCCACCCTGTCCCCCAGAACACACATATCCCACCCACCCACCCTGTCTATAGCTCTTCTTTCCCTCTTAAGTTCTCTTCTAGTTTTACTTAATATAGCAGATGATAGATATTTATACCCTGTCCAGCATTTGTCATCCTGGACAAAGAGGAAAAGCTAAACCACCTCAGTGAGTGCCTTCTGTATGCCTACATCACCCTGGCCCTAGGGGCTACAATATTCATGGAGATGTAGTCTTCACCTGGAAGGAACTTAAACTGGTAAGAAATGCACCCTGGTCACCCCATAGCCACCAGTGTGCTGGCACCTGGATAGCAGACTGGTAGCTGGGGGTCTGGGTTAGGGAATAGGGTCTAGTTATCAATTAGTGAACAGTGAGGGAGGGCTTCTATAGCCAAAGCCCCAGAGTGAGCTAGCCCCCCTGTAGAGACCTTTGGCATGCCTTGTCCTCTGGGGGCACTTTCATGGCTACCCATATATCTGGCCCCCATCACTTCACTGGCCTGCAGGTTCTTTTCAGGCCAGCATACACCTGATGTTTCTTTTACAGCCCTCACCACACTGGCCCAGCCCAGCTCAAGAATGATTTGTTGGACACCCTTTTTAAATACTCCGAGTGGCTCTGAAGGAACATTGCTCAGGAAGCCTGGGTCTTGGACCCCAGTCCATTCTGTCCCCTGTCCAGGCACTGAGTCCTAAGTTTTAGGGCCTCAAGACCCAGGGGTACCTGTTTGACTGAGAAGTTTGGCTGAAGCAGGAGTAGAGTGCTCATAGGAACACCGAGGAGTGGATAGAGCTATATACAGTCCTGCTGACCCTTCCGGGGGTGAGGTGCTTTAGGGTCAGGGAAGGTGGGGAGCACCCAGGGTTGCAATCAGTAAGTGGGTGACCAGGACTCAAAGCCAGTTGCCTTAAGGTGCTTGTCCACATCAGGGTCATGGTCATACCTTCAGCCCTCAGCTTAGCCAGTGTTGTGGTGTTTCCAGGGAGGCTCTGGTGCTGCACCCAAGAGGCTGTTGCAGGGGAATGGATCTCAGCTATCCCTGAGGCTTTGGCTGAGACCTGAGGCCCTCCTCCTACTTGCTTTTGCAGGGAGCTTCAAGGCAGCTGCCAATGGCCGTATCCTGAAGAAGCACTGTGAGTCGGAGCAGCGCTGCCTGGACCGACTGATGGCTGATGTGCTGAGACCATACGTGCCAGCCTACCATGGGGATGTGGTAAAGGACGGGGAGCGCTACAACCAGATGGATGACCTGCTGGCTGACTTCGACTCACCTTGCGTGATGGACTGCAAGATGGGCATCAGGTGAGCTGAACTCCTCCTAGCATCTACTTGTTCCATCAGACCATGCAGAGGACACAGGGGGTTCTGGCTTTGCCCTGCCAATCACTATTTCTCTAGTGAGCTGGGGGAGGCAAGACAGGGGCGCTGGCTGGATGCCAAGCCTCTCGGGGAGCAGATAGAGCTGCTCACTAGTCAGGTGGGGTCCCTGAGTGAGGTGAGCAGCCAGTAGAGAGGAATCATAGCTATGACCTGCTGTTAGGTGACCTAAGGTGGAGACAGGAATAGAGAGAAGGGGCCACAAAGCTGGCTTATAGCACATGCTGGTTTCCCAAAAAGACTTGGGCCTACCACCAGAGCGCAACTGAGAATAGAACCCAGGAGCCCCAGGTGCCCCTATGGCAGGTGAGCCTGAGGTATCTCCAGATATCCCAAGGTGCTCCAGGGTCTGGGCTAAGCCCAACAGACAGGAGGACCGGGGAGCATCAGGCAGAAGTGGACCCCCACCCCTACCTCCAGGATCTCAACTTCCAGGCTCTGCCTTGGCCTGACATCTCCCCAAAGGAGGAGATGACCCAGGAGGAAAGAGTGAGGAAGAGGGCCAGGAGAGGTAGGGAGGAGAGCACAGGGGAGGCTCAAGGCCTCAGACAGCTGTCCTGAGTGCTGGGTCCTTATGAGGCTGCAGGCCTGTTTTACCCCTTCTTAAACTTTGGCCCTGTCATCTAGTAACCACCTACATGGCCGCTTTTCCCTGAGGAAGGTTGTGGTGCTCCCTCTAGGAAGCTGTCAGCCCCTAGGTGTCCAGCACTCCCTTTTTACCCCCTGAGACCTGGCGCTGGCTGAGACACCCAAGCTGGACAGTGGACTTTGTCTTCTCCATGACATTTTAGTCACCTGTGAAGAGAGGTGGAGCTCAGAGCTGAAGCCGATATCTGATTTGAATGATTTAACTGTTCTATGTCTTTTATAAAAGTTTATTTTTTAAAAATATTTTTATTTTATGTGTCTATGTATGTAAGTGCACCCATGTCATACAATGCCCACAAAGATCAGAAGAGGGCATCAAATCCCCTGAACTGGAGTTAAGGACGGCTGTTAGCTATTGTGTGGGTCCTGGGAACCAAACCCGAGTCCTCTGCAAGAGCAGCCACTGCTCTTAACCCCTAAGCCATCTCTCCAGCACCAAAACATTTATTTTTTAAATTCTGTGTATGCATGTATGTTTGTGTTGGATATGTACACATGAGCATGGGTGCCCATAGGGGGCAGGGCATCAGAGGTGTTGGATTCCCCCAGAGCTGGAATTATAGGCAGTTATGAACTACCCAATGTGGATGCTGGGAACTAAATTCCTCTGGAAGAACAGTGTGTATTCTTAACCACTGAGCCATCTCTCCAGCCTCTGATCTATTTCTTTTGTGTGTGTGCACACACAGTGGAGGCCAGTGAATGACAATCACTATGTCATTCTTCAGATCTTGTCCGCCTTGTTTTTCTGATTGTCTCTCATTGGCCTGAAGCTTCTCTGATTAGGCTGGGAAGGCTGGCCAGCGAGCCTCAGAGATCCACCTCTCTCTGTTTCCCTAGTACTAGGATTATAAGCACACGCCACATGCTGGACTTTTTATGTGGGTTCTGGGGATCAAACTTAGGTCCTCGTGCTTGCATGACAAGCACTTTACCAACTGAGCTATCTGCCCATCCCCTGAATTGGTGTATCTCTTATATAAGGATATTAAGGGGTGGGGAGAACAAGCAAGGGAGTGCAGTGTGTGCTTGGACTGAACCAACCGGGGTTTCCTTTCCTTCTTACTCCTCCTGGGTGTTGTGTCCTAAAATCAGCCTGCCAGCTGACCATGGCATGTTCCCTTCCCTTATCCCCAGGGCAAGCATAGGGGCATGGAGAAGTACAGGCCCAGCTGTTGGCTCCTGCCCATCACTAGCACCTCCTCCCACTTTCCAAAGCCCTGGCTGTCTCTGGCCCACAGGGATCTGGGGTGGGTAAGGGAAAAGACAAAATGCCCCTGTAGCCACATAGCCACAGCTCTTTGCCAATCTTATTTATCTCTGGAAGACTCTTGGCCAGTGCACCAGGATGTGCGTGCTCAAGGGCCAGCCCTTGCTTCCAACCTGGATAGCCAGGGCTCAACCTGCCTGCAGGAGAGAAAGGCGATCCCATGCACAGTATCCCACTGAGCAGTCTCACAGGTGCACAGACAGGCGAATTTGTATCACAGATGCATGGCTGGTTATCCCTGAAAGCCAGCAGCTGTGCCTCCTACCCTAGGTGGCCGGCAGCTCCCCGGGAAGCTACAGAGGCAGGGCCCCATACCTCCAGGCTTCCCTTGTCTCCTGGATCTGGTTGCTTCTCTCACTTTGTACTTCAGGGTTCTCCTCTCCAGAGAGGCTTAGTTAACCCTGCCCTAGGCATGACAGGGGTCAGAAGAAGTAGGGAGGGAGGAGGAGCACTTCAGGCAAGGGGGGGGTCTCCCTAAAAGCAACTCCTACCCCAGCTGCACTTTCCCCACACATGGACCCTAAGGGTTCCTCTGTGCTCTGAGCACTGGTCCTCAGCCACACTGTCCCAGCATGCCCCACAGGCAGTCATACTGAGATAGGTCATGCTATTGTTTGAGCAGGTGTCACTAGGGCCACCCACCAGGTAGCAGAATATTGCAAATATACCCAAGCTATGAACTGCACACCAGGCCATGCACTACTCTCCATGGAAGCCCTTGAAGACCCTGTTTCCACAGGGCTCCCTGGGGTGATAGGCTGGTCATCTTTAGGCCTTGGGCTGTGGCTTTCTTCCAAACACAGTAGCCCAGAAACATTGGCCTCTGGGCCTCTACTGAGACAAGCAGTCTATGAGTGCCCTTAGAGCATGGCCTGTCCTTGCAAAGGGAAGAGCTTGGAGCACTGGTCCTCATTAAACATCAAGTCCCAGGGCATGGAGCAGAGACCTACTACAAAAGTGGTAGAAGGCAGAGCCAGCCTTAGTCAGTGGAGGGGAGGCGGTAGTGGTATGAAGGAGCCTTTATGGGACCCAGCTCCAAATGAATAAATGCTTCTACTGCTCTCAAGATGTCCTTGGGCTTGAAACGTCCCACTTAGAGTGATTGTCGTCTGTTATCCAGACCTAGGGTCGCCAGCCCCTCAGCACTGAAAAAACTGTCCTGGCTTGGTCTGCCACCTGTTGGTCTCACCTGGACTTGCTGTCTTCCTTTACCTTAACTTGACTCACCTCCTATCCCAGAGTCTGGCCCCTCTGCTCCCCCATGTCTATTTTTTAGGCCCCAGCAGTTGGTGAACAAGTCTCTAGCCCCTATCACGGACAGAGCCCAAGCCTTCCCTCTGTGGTAGAGGCAGTATGGCAGCAGTAGGTGTTGAATGTTCCTCGGATGTACTCTGGGCCCAACATCCAGCTGGTGGCCATTGGCAGCATCTCTCCCAAGCAACTCTGCCTAGGCAGGACTCCAGGGGGCCTTTTAGGGGGAAAGTTCCATGTGAACAGGGCTTTGACAATGGTGCCTCTTTCCTCTTTAAAGAGCTACTGGAGCTCTTTGGGGAAGTGTAGACACTGCTTGCCCTGCAGGCCTGGGTTGCACACTCAGGGGTGTTAGGAATAAAATCTTCCTCTAGAGTAACAAGTCCATGGACAGCTTGACATCTGCATGCACAGCAGCGTGCTGAGTGCATGAAGTGCATGTGTGTGTGTGCAAGCTCCCAACTAGCAACTGGTTCATTCAGCATGAACTGACCAAATTCATGCCCGAGGATTTGGGCATTTCTTTTTTCGGTTGTAAATAAATATCAATAGGTGCAGTGGTTTCTGAAATCCTCTCCTTTGTGTTCAGTCTGTTCTGGGACCCAAACAGGCAGCCTGGGGAAGATGTGGAAACAAGTATTCAGCCACCCACAGGGGACAGGGGAGAAGAGTGGACAGATGGGGAGAGTGCCTCTGAGGGCAGCTCACACCCACGCAGGGCACAGGGGGCCTACTTCCCCATCTTGCAGCTGATTGACTACTGCAGCCTCCTCTAGGTCTAGGGCAGCATGTGTGTGGGTGGAAGGGCTGAAGCAGGGGAGCAGGGAAGAGGGCAGAGGTGAGTCACTTCTCCAGTTGGAGGTAGTGGTGGAAATCTGGGAGTTGGTACTGGGGCTGAGATTAGTTCTCAGAGTCCTGAGGCAGTAACTCCACCCCAGGCTGCTCTGGTCCTCTCCTGTCCCTACCTGTCATCTCCCCCGATGGGGCTCAGTGTCTTCACCAGTTCAACCTACAGATGCCGCTTGCTATGCAGAGGGCAGCACATGAAGCAATTCAGAAGGCACATTTTCTCAGTCTTTCTGGGATTAAGGGACTCAGTGACCCAGTGTGGAGGAGGCGGGAGTACCAGGCAGGTCTCTGAGACATAACAGGGCCACAGACCCCTGAGCAGCCCTCTCAGATGGTTCTCTGCAGAAGCCTTCTGCAGTCTTAGAAATTCCCTTCTGCAGAAAACCAGAGATGCAGCCCAGTGTCAGGCTGTATGAGGATGGGGGACAGATGGGAGGGACAGATGGAGAGGACAGAATATACTCTCCAGGCAGCCAGGGCACAGTGGGAGTCCAGAGGGAACACTGTCCTCTGTCTCTCCCACAAACTGCCCACTTTCCTGCTTCCTTTTTCTGCTGACCCTAGATCCCATAGAAGGGGTTCCTTGGGCTTAACAGGCCTTCACAGTGGCTCCAAGGTTCTCTGGATGTGGTGAGGACACCCTTTCTCAGATCAGGCTGAACAATCCATGGCTCTCCCAATGAATGGGCCTCATCTTAGGGGTTGCTGTATTGACCATGACCCTGACCATGAAAATACAGCCAACTCAGGATCTTCATCTACCAGGCAACCCACAACTACAGGGAGCCATGACCCACCCCCATTACTCATGTCCCTCATCTTCCATGCAGGACATACCTAGAGGAAGAGCTCACCAAGGCCCGGAAGAAGCCCAGCCTGCGGAAGGACATGTACCAGAAGATGATCGAGGTAGACCCAGAGGCCCCCACTGAGGAGGAGAAAGCCCAGCGAGCTGTGACCAAGCCACGCTACATGCAGTGGCGGGAGACTATCAGCTCCACTGCCACCCTAGGTTTCAGGATTGAGGGCATCAAGGTGAGGCCAGTGAGGTATGGGCCTCTCAGTCTGTGATGATGGGGGCTTTGAGATCCTCAGAGTCTGTTAGGATCACCTAGTACCGGCTCATGTGTGGACAGCCAGCCTGGGAATGTTGGCCTGTTCCTCAGGCTAAGGTGCAGGTAGGCTGATTGTGTGAGGGAATCAGGTCTCAGAGCAGCAGTGACTGAGGACCCAACATAGAAGCCAGCTTTACAGGCCTACCACAGGGAAGAAGTTTGTTTGCTGTCAGTGAGGAGCAGGTGGGGAGAGCTGTGTGGCTGCCTGGGATCCCTTAGAAACCTCATCCGCCTACATTTCCTCTTCAGTGCCCCGAGAAAGATCTAAGACTGTCCCTGTCCCTAAGACCCTGTCCATGCCCCTAGCTGTTGGATTTGTAAGAGCCAGCTCAGGAACAGGGTTGGGGAACCCATGCTCCTCAGTCTCAGGCAGCCATCCTTTCGGGGCAGGTGGCAGTCCCATCACAGACCCTGGTTCTCTCCTCTCCTGCCCAAGCCTGGTCTGCCTGATCCCCTGTCCAGCATGGATTTGGGGTTGGGTGGCTGAAGTGAAGGGAGGCTCCTGTGGCCAGCTCTCACATGGTGTGTGAGTTCCTCTGGTCACCAGTGTCTCACCTGCTGCTTCCTGACTTCTAGAGCTGGGGACTGAACATCATTTACCCATTCTTGCCTTCTGAAACCACCGTTCCCTCTTTGCAGCTTCCAACTCTCAGCCTGGATGTAAATTATTTACACACCCTCTCCTTCTCTCTCTCTAGCTTGTCTGAACAACACCCATGCCCTGGTATTTCCTGCCCAGGCAGGATATGTTTCTGGTCTCTGCATTGTCCAACTGTAGGTACCACTAACAGCCCATCCACTGACCCAGAGAGGCAGACTCTATACAAGTGAGGCTGTCCCTTGCCCTGGGCCCTGCTGCCCTTGTTCAGAACAGGGTGCTTTTGGGTCACTTTCTTACATTGTTGTCTCAGACCCCCCCACACACACACACCTCCTAACACAGTGCGTTACCAGGGAGCTGGGGCCACCCTGTGAGCTCCTCTGTCAAGGCCAAGAATAGGCTCTGCTGTGCCAGGTGACAGCCACATGATTGCACTCGCCTCCCTCTACCATCCCTGAGCAGTGCCATGTTCAGGTGAGTGGGTGAGGTGTCCTCCTGTGGTCCCACTGATGACTCTTGGGTGGGGTGTCCTCCTCAGAAGGAAGATGGCTCTGTGAACCGTGACTTCAAGAAGACTAAAACAAGGGAGCAGGTCACTGAAGCCTTCAGAGAATTCACTAAAGGAAACCAGAACATCCTGGTGAGTCAGGGTTTGGGGGTGACCGTACCTGCTCTGAACATTCTTGCTCTGCCCTTATCAGAGCCAGGAGCGGCAGCCATGGTACCTTTGCTAAAAACACAAGCCCCAGATTTCTGCACAAGGGTGATGTGACTATCCCTAGCCAATCATGGGTACACAGAGAAGCTAAGTAAACACTGAAGGCCTCATTCTCTGGGCTCTAGCATATATCCCCCAAGGGAATGACTCTGGTGGGGTATCTTTAGCACCTGCTGCTGGCCAGGTATTGTACTGAGTGTTCATCACATCTCAGCAGCCCTCTGGTGAAGTGGACACTCTTGTCCCAATTTGATAGACAAGGAGGTTTGAAGGTCCAAGACACAAGTAGCAAAGGGCAGAGCTGGGGTTCACACCCAAGTTGGCTAGATGCAGAAGGTCCCTGCACTTCCTGATAGCTCCAGGCCTACAGTATGTCTGCAGGGTAAGCCCTCTGGTTCCTAGACATCTACAGGAGTTATTTCAGACCCTCAGAGTCCTGCCACTGACTACATTTCCAAGAGGGATTGATTGCTGCTGAGGATTCCAGGGAGCTGCTGACTGGTCCTACCTGACTATATCACTGCTGTTCAATGATCATTGACAAAGCCTGTGTGATATGGGCTTCCCTAGTGGACCTGTAGGCCCAGGTGATGAGACTCACACTGCTGGCCCCTGGGGATGATCAGGCACACCCCCATAGCTAATGCAGGAGAGTCTTTAGGGCTCTGTAGATCTCCCCCTACTCTGTCTTTAGTCAAGGGTACAGCAGTTTATGGTCAGGAAGTTACCATGGAAACTGACTGTGGGCTCTGCCTTTGCTAACTGGCATGCTGAGATGGACTGCCTCCTCATGGAAGAACCTGAGGGGCTGCACAGCCTTCTGGGAAGGGTATAATTCTGAACTCAGCTGAGCTCACTTCTCTTTGCTTCTGTTTTCTTGTTGGTACAGAAGGAGGTTGGAGTAAGTGGTCAGAGTATATGGTCACTCCAACTTGTAATTTAGTGACTAATGAACTAAATAGAGATCACATGCACACTCAGTGTGTAAAACTCTGGGCATCTCTATCCTCAGATTGCCTACCGGGACCGACTGAAGGCTATTCGAGACACTCTGGAAGTCTCTCCTTTCTTCAAGTGCCATGAGGTAGGTCACTGTGTCTTGGCTCTGCCAGACATAGCTTACCTGCTGACAGACCCCCTGGTTCCAATAAGGAATGAAATCACTGGCCCAAGCTTCCCTCAGGATCATATAGGCTCAGGCCTTTCTTAGCCCCTCAAATAGCTAGGTACCCCAGATATGTCTCCCCCTGTTCCTGCCTCCTCTTCTCCTCCAGGCTCTGCTCCCTTCCTCCTTGCCCTGACACCCCCACCCTAGCCTTGCTCCCCACCTCCTGATTCTGGCCCCACCTGCTCCTCTCCTCACTGCCCTGCTTCCTTCCAGGTTATTGGCAGCTCCCTCCTCTTCATCCATGACAAGAAGGAGCATGCCAAAGTGTGGATGATCGACTTTGGGAAAACCACACCCCTGCCTGAAGGCCAGACCCTGCGACATGATGTGCCCTGGCAGGAGGGGAACCGGGAGGATGGCTATCTCTCTGGCCTGAACAACCTCATCGACATTCTGACGGAAATGTCCAAGGGCAGCCCACTCACCTGAGGCCGCCACCACCTTGCCTGCCATCTCTGCCCCTCTCCCTCTCCTTTGCTTCCCTTTCTCTTTCAATTCTTCCCTCGTTTCTCACTGAGCTTCCACCTGGAACAGAGCCTGCCAAGCTGCACTACAGGACACTTTGAAGAAAAGAGAGGACATTTTTCTAGTTCTTTTTCCATTACAAGAGCCTGGAGGTGGCTTCTGGAAGAGAATTGCCCAAATCTAGGCATGACATCCTGTACAGTCAGGTGATCTTAGAGCCAGAGTAGGTCTGGGTGACCATGGGATTCCTGGCCACTTGGGGTTCCTAAGAGATTGAGCCTTGCTTCTGGGAGACTCCCAGAAAGCACCGGCCCAGCCTGGCTACCAGTGGGACCCTGCTGCCCCCTGGTGGCCAGTGCTATCAGCGTGCAAGCCTCCCTTGTGTCTCCCACCCTGGGTACCACAGCCAGGCTAGGGTACTGCTGTTTGGGATTTGGAAACAACCTCTGGGGCTCTGCATGTTGCTTGAGCAAAGAATCCTCCAGAGAGAAACCCCAGTTTGCAGAGACACTGTGTGGCCTTTCTAGGGAAGCTAAATCAAGACCCCACCTAGCTGGGGTGGGTTAAATCCTTGGGATCTAGACCCAGGCTAGAAGCCAGGAGAAGCTGTTTGACTATTTCTGAAGAACTGCGATCTCCCCAGAAGGGGGCAGGCAGGAACTGTGTACCCTTCCATCTGGGATTGCTGCCGGTGTACTTAGAGGAGACATTCCAGGGATAATGCCACCTCCCAGAGCCGCTACTTTCTGGCCTTGCTCTGCCCTGCTGTAGCAGCAAGGTCCAGGCCTGGGTAGGTACTCAAAGTTCCGCCTGCCCTCCAGGGCACCTGCAACAACTCTGAGACCCTGTCATACCCAGGGAAGAGGCTCCTCTCTTGTCAAGTCCCTGGTAATAGTCAGGCAGTGCCACACGTGTACCTGGAATCACTCCATAAGGAAGGAGCCTTTAACAGTTACAAGGATGGAATGGGGTTCTGGCTGCATCAGGCTAGGAGGAAGCAGGATTCTGACTTCTTGAAATTAGTTCTGAATTTCCCTTGAAGTCACTCTGCAGCCTAAAGGGTTTAGATTAGTGTCATGTAGGTAGTTTTCAGGGTATGGATGGGTGCCTGAGGTTGCCCCAGACCTCCCCATTCCTGGACTCTCTGAGCTGTTTGAAGACCTGGGAGACCATTGTTAATCCCTACTTCTACTGTAAAGCAAGTGGGCCTGGCTTACTGAAAAGAGCGAACAATTTGCATGGCTTCAGAAACAGAACTCCTGGCTCTGTTGTCATTTAGAGCTGTCTTCAGGCCCCTCTGGGCTTGCCTACCCCTCCTTTGCTAAGAGACTCAGGAGCACAGTGTACAGGTGCTCTGCTAGGTACTCAGCTAGCAGACACTGCTTGGGGACACTAAGAGTGATGGGGTGGACCAAGCTGTATGTACCTGAAAAGGTCATCTTCCCTTCTTTAGGAAGAGATGGCCACCTGGGCCACCCACCCTGGTTTCCTGGGCTTTCTAGAGGACTATTGGGCCATGTGACACATGTATTTCCCCTTTCATGCTGGGTGAGTGACAGTTGGTGGGGGTGGAAGGTGGGACCCATGAGGATGTATGTATATGTAGAGACTTTAAAAAAGGAAATCACTTAAACCTCCTGGCTCCTGTTCAGATTCATGGTGAGCTCCTGCGTGGGTTGACTTGCTAAAGGTCACCTCCAGCAAGCCTAGACCTTATGATAGCACATGATCTGAAAGGCAGGCAGACTTGGGGGGGGTTGTCAGTGATGCAGCAAGCTCTGGGACTAGTTGCAGGGTTAGAGGGGACCACATGGTCTGTGCTTTAGCCATCTGCTGGGCAGGAACATCATTCCAAGAGTCTGTATATAAAGATAGATTGGACCCAAGTTCCCTTCTATCTCAGAAAAATGTTTGCTGAGGCAAACTATGATATGAACAAAAATTTCAGGGACCAGTTTAACCTTCCTAAGAGAACAAAAGTTGCTGAGCACTTTAAGGTACCAACTGTCTCAAAAATGTGCTATGATTCAAGTGGCTGAGCGACCAATTATTCAAGAGGCCAGGATCCTCTTAGGACAATGCTTTGGGTTGGGTTATGTTTGAGGTGTGAAAGTGGTCTAGAAAGGCATCTTTTTGGGGTTATTCTGTTACCAAGGGTGTTTTGTTTCGTTGGGTTTTTGTATTTACCATGCTAGTTCCTACACTGTCTCCCAAGCCATTCACCCACCCGCTTCCTGCCAGCAGCCTTTCCTCCTTGTCCCACTGGGATGGATAGATCCCAGATGGAATTTCCCAGAACCTCTGGTGCTCCAACAAACCATGCCCATGAGCCCTGGTCCTGGTGGAGACTCCTGTGCACACCTCGGTACAGATGTGCAGATGTAGGCTGTGGGGCGCTCCTGCCCTTGGGCCCCCAGGTTTCTTGGTGGTCAGTCCCACTTCGCATGTTCCACAGGTTGCTTCGTCTGCTTTTCCCCCGACTTGCCTTTAGTGTCCTTTAAGAAGTGTTTAAGTTATATTTATTTTTTTTTGTTTTAATTGCACAAAACACTAAAATGAAAGGCTGGACTGCTCTAAGCTCTGCGTGCCTTCTGGAGGTCTTTCCCTCATGGCTGGGGGAGCCTTGAGCAGCCATGGCCCCAAGACAGACGCTGTTCACCTTTGGCTGGCTGTATTTAGCTTTGAGTTCGCCTGCATCCTGCCAATCCTGTGTGTATATAGGCCCGAGCCCCTGCTCCTGGGTGCTTACCTGTCAGTGCCTTTTTCTGGAGGAGAGGACCCTCCCCACACCCTGACAGGCTCTCCTCCTCTTCTGCACTCTTCTCTCTTCTGGACGTTACAACTCCCCTGCCTAGTGCCTGTCAGTCAACTGCAGACATTCCCTTCTTCCCAATAAAGGCCTTGGAGACCAGCAGCACTGGCTTGATGTGATACTTCTGCCTCCTGCCCTCTAACTACCACATCCGAGTCTGATGACCTCCAGGGGTGGATGTCAGGTGGGGTAACATTCTAAATCTGCCAGAGATATTAAACACTCTTTAAAAGGAGTCTTTCCTACCTTGTCCATTACACCTTTAAATAGCATCTCAAGGATATTAACCAGCGACATCCCCTGCCCGTGGTAGGCTCTGAGCTGGGTGCAGATAAATCACCCATATCACCTGCAAGAGTAAGGCTTTATCATCTCCACTGATCAGATAAGGAAACTGAGGCTTAGAATGGTCAAAAAACTTGGCTTGGGAAATGGGTAGAGAGAAAAGGTTTGAACCCAGGAACTTGCTATCTTTACCGGGGGAATGTCTGGAGGCAGAGAGCTGGGCCCAGACCCAGTAGTGGCTCACTGGGGAGTCATGACTGAGTCTCTGGGAAACCCTTGAGAGCAAATCCCCTGCCTCATATTAAGGACTACTGCTTAAAACTGTGTGCTACCTTGAGCCCTCTCTCCAGCCCTGCCATATGCCCCAGCCACCAGTAGACCCTGTCTGCATTCTGTGTCCCAGGAACCTGCTCAACTCGGACTCTAGAAGACTGATGTTGGCCACTGTTGTATGGGACTCTAGATCTGTCCCCCCAAGCCAAGCCAGCCAGTAGCCCCAAGGCACTGGCTGAAGAGAAGCCAGGTACCATGGAAGGAGCCTCTAAGCCCTACACCAGCATGCCAAATCAGTGCCCTCCTAGCTAGCCCTGGGGGGGGCTGTGGCCATGGCCAGATAGACTCCTGAACTCTGAGAAAGGGGATGCTCCCTGGAGGACTGTTGTTTGCTGAGTAGCACTGAACCATCCACATTTTTTGTATACCGTGTCCATTGCCATCTGACCAGACCACATCCCTGTCCTCAGGCCTGCCATTGCTCCTTGCCACATGTACTCCAGTGCCTCACCTCTCCCCCCAGGATGTTACAAGAGGAGACCATGGTGGCCCAGCCACAGAGTGTAGTGTGCCACCCCTGAACAGACATGGAAGAATCCAGGGAACTAGGTGGCCCATTACCTGTGGTTCTTAGGCCACTTTCGGCACCTGGGCTCACCAGAAACTGGTTCCTGTGGGTGCTGTGGGACAGTAAATATGGCCAACTCCATCTCAGGAGGTGGATGTGCAGCCTGGCCAGGAACAGAGTACCTGAGAGAAGCAGGGTAGGAATCTGTATCCAGATTGATTCTGTTGTATCTGCCGCTGAGCAGGGAACCTCTGCAGTGGCTCAGCTGTTTCTCGTTCAGCACAGGCCTATGCCTACTTAGCAGCCCAGCAAGGGAGGTAAGGAAGGAGGCAGTGTCACCATCTATTGCCAAGTCCCTGGGGTCAGCATGCTCCATGGCTGCATCTCTGGCAAGTCTTCTCCCTGCCCCATCCACTGGGCAAGGAGCTGGGATGGTGGAACTGTCACCCATCCTGCAGGTCTGGGGAGGAAGAGAAGCTGAAAATGAGAGCACTCCAAAGGTTGCACTGAAGGTGGGCTGAAGAGTGCTATGTGGTCTTAGCGACAGGGAGGTGCCAGGGGTCACACTACACTCTAGGAACCACTTCGAATCTATGATTATGGTCAGGTCCCTGGAGAGGCCTAGGGATCTGGGCACTTCTCAGCAGCTACGACTCAATCAACCCTACCACTTCCCAATGACTATAAGGGCTTCCCTGACGCATGGGTGGCTCAGCCTAACACTGAGTCTTAAACACCTCTGAGGGTAGGTACCAACCCTTCTCAGTCTTTCAGAGGAATGGGTCTCCCACCCTACACTGCATTGCTGGCTCTGTGCATTCTTTCCCCTTTCTACCCCTTTTCCCACTCCTCAACCTGCATCCCCCTGAGCTGGCATCCCTATAGCAATTAGACTTTATAAAGTTTTATTGGGAATAGCCATGGCACTATTTTATGTACTATCTAGGGTTTCTTTTGCATCACAACTGCAGATGAGGCCAGTAATTGCCAGTCCGTATGGACTGTAAAGCTAAAATGTTAATCATTCAGCTCCTTAGAGAAAGGCTGCCAAACCCTGAGTAGCTGTAAGCAGTGGTGAGTAGCCAGGTGTCGAGTGATTGAAGCAGAGTAGTTAATACTCAAAGACTGTGAGATGAACCTTGTCAGCCCTGTGCCATATATAAGAAGCTCAGAGAGGACTGGGTAACTTACCTAGGATCACACAGCTAGGAAACAACAGATTCTACCTTTGACTTTGCATGTCCATATTCCTGGGCAGTCCAGGGAATGTGTGAGCAGTCCAGGGAATGTCCAGGGACTGTGCCACAGGACTGCTGGGACAGCCTGTGAATGCTGGGGCTTGTGGCTAAGAAGCTGAGCTTCAGAGCCCAGGATTAAAGCACCTGTAGGCCCTGCTTTCCTGCAGGACTGGAGACCCTGGACCACTGCAGTGAGACACTATTTGTTCTGGCCTCCGGGTGACCCTCCAGGAAACTCAGCATTGGCACCCACAGCAGCCACCCCGCCCCCTTACCCAGCAAGCTGAGGGTGCGGAACCAAGTCTGCAGTCTGCGTGTCATTTACAGCCTGGCTCACAAGCCCTTCCACAGAAAGGCAGAAAATGCATCCAGTTCCTGCGAATGCCAAGAAACAGCGTGTGTGTCATTTTTCTCAATTTCATTTTCACTGTGACAGCTGTGGCCCAGCGCCTGGCATTTGGCGCACCATGTACAGGCCTCAGATGACACATTCAAAAAGAGAAGTGAGATAGGGAAGGAGATAGCACAGAGAAGAGGTGTTTCTGTGCCTTGAAAAAGGGGAGGACTTACCGGGGGGTATCTTTAAAGCCTAGCAAGGCCAGGTGTCTCTGTCAGGGACTAGGGCACCACCCTGTGGTCCCCTCATTCTGCCCCCAGCACTGCTGTAGTGGATGGGTGTGGAGGTCACAATGGAGGACCTCTTGTGACTAACTTCACAGTCAATTCCCATCCTTCCTCCCTGTACCTTTCCAAACTTGTGAATGAATAAAGTGAGGACTTGGAAGAGGGGAAGGGAAACACTTCCATGTAAATTTCTGTGCTTTTTGATGCAGCAGCACGTACCATTTTAAAAATAGTTTTTGCATATTATGGACAAACAGGATCTGTGACAGTTTTCTGACAACAGCAACCCTGCTCAGTTTCAATGAGAAAAACATTTGCCCAATTTTAGTCATGCTGCCTGAGAACAGGTGCTGGGGTGAATTCAAGACAGCCAATATCATAGCACAGCACCCCCCCCCAAGTAGGGAGGCTGCCCCCTTGTGGACATCGAGGTGCATTGTAAGGTGCCCAGAGGAAAAGGTGGCTGGTCAGGGAAGATACCAGGGATCTGCCTCTCCTATACCCCATGGAGTACCCTGAGGAAGGAGTGCTGGCCCCTAGTTATATATCTGGACTTCAGGGACACAGTGACCACAACAAAAAAGAATTATCAATAACCAAAGGTCTGACAAGCACCACCCATCTTTAGTTCATTTTACTCTGCAACAACCTGTTAAGAGAGATGCTATTAATATCACAAATAACAATAAATCAAGAAACTGATTCTCAGGGAGGCTAATTTGACCAAAGTATACAACTTTAGTAAATACCAGCACCCAGGTGTAAGGCATAATAAGGCAATAGACAGGTAACAGGTATGGGAGATAACAGTTTAAAGAACAGGTTGGCAGAAAAAAAAAAAAACAGGGAGCTATATGGGGCACAGAAGAGGCCTGACCCAGGACATAAAGATTGCATGAAAAAGACTTTGAAAAAGAAATGTCAATGCCACTAAAGCGAGTTTAGAGACTGAGTGTGAATTACCCAGAGGGTTGATGGGTGGAGGGAGCAGAACACAGAGACACGGGAAGAAAGTGTGGAGTGGTTCCACGTGGCCAGAGCAGAGGGTCAGCATGGGGCTAGCAACACGGGCACTCAGGCCTGAGGAAGGAACGTAGGAGGAGAGTTGGGCATGTGGAGTTTCTTCCAGGGTCAAGCAGGTATCTCTAGAGGCTCCTAAGCTGTGGCATGGTGAGACTCTTGAATGGAGGAAATGATGGTAAGCCAGAGGAGAGATGTCAGGTTATGAAATGGAGTCCAAGTCTGCAAGCTGTAGGGAAATTAAGGAGGAAGGATGTGTCTGTGTGTGACTTTGGAAAGGTGTCCTAGTTTGCTTTCTGTTGCTGTGATAAAGCACTCTGGCCAAAACCAGCTCAGGGAGAAAAGGATTTATTTGGCTCACACTTCCAGTTCACAGTCCATTATTGGAGGAAGTCAGGGCAGCTCAAACAGGAACTGAAGCAGAAACCATGGAAGAATGCTGTTTACTGGCTTGCTCTTAGACTGGCCTTCGGTTACCTTTCTTATATAGTCCAGGCCCACCTGCCCAGGGATGGCACCACCCACCATGGGCTGGACCCTCCTACATCAATTAGCAAGGCAAAAAAGGCCCCATAGACATGCCCACAGTCAGTCTGATCTGGGAAACCCCTCAGCTGAGATTCCTTCAGATGACTCTAAACTATGTGGAGCTGACAGCTGAAGCTATCTAGGAGAGGGTCTGGGATGCCCCCCTAAGTGACATGGGGGTAGGTTGGGGTACTTTAGAGAAGTGGGAGTAGGAATGGTGGGAATGAGTGCAGTGTGAACAGCACTCAGGGAGGCCCCCAAGGACATCCAGATGGAGGACTCATGGGCTGGAATTCTGGAGCTGAGCCCCAGTGGGAACCATATGAATGGAGTTGGGCTCTCAATCTGGGGTGGTAGGACAGGAGAATGGTCACACTAAATGCTACTTGAGATCAGAATTTGAATTGTATATGTTAATTAGTACTGATGTCTTAGGATTCAAAGCAAAGCATCCTGTTGTTAGTAGTGTTTTGTTTCAGTGATGGGAGTGATATGTTACTTTTCTATTTCTACAAAGTTACCTGAGATAACCAGCCTAGAGAAGAAAACTTTATTTTAGCTCATGG